ACCAACTGAATGGTTCTGATAAGGCCTCCAAACAAGGTCAACTCAGCATGGGGCGGAATCATCGGAAAACCTCTGGCAACTCGAATAACCAGAATAGATCAACTCCTCAAAAGGAAAATGGGGCAGACACAATAGAAGACCACAAGCAAATGGCTAGGATGTCAGAAATCGAGTTGAGAATGTGGATAGCAAATAAGATTAACAGAATGGAAGAAAAGAAGGAATTAGGAGTTCAAGAAATTATTCAAAAGATTTCTCAAGAAATTATTCAAAATATATCTCAAGAAATTATTCAAAAGATGTCTCAAGAACTCAACAATTTCAAAGATAAAATGATCAAAGATTTTGAAACACTGAGACAAGAGGTTGCAGTCCTCAAGAATCTGAAAGACACAGTGGAATCCCTCCGTAACAGAGTGGAACATGCAGAAGAAAGGATCTCTGACTTTGAAGACAAAGCTTTTGAAGAAGGCCAGGACCTCAAAGATCAAAAGAAATGGAGAGCAAAAACAGATCTCACCCTCAGAGAACTCTTGGATAATTAAAAGAAAACTAATATTTGCATTATAGGAATCCCTGAAGGTAATGAAGTTGCTTCACAAAACACTGAGGTTCTTCTTCATGAAATTATGAAAGAGAACTTTCCAGACATGCCAAGAGATTCTGAAATTCAGATAGCAGATAGTTTCAGAACTGCAGAATGACTCAACCTGAACAAGACATCCCCCAGAAACATCATAAATACTTCACCAAAGTTAAGATGAAAGAGAAAATTCTGAAAGCAGTCAGATGTAAGAAAACAATAACCTACAAGGGGAAGAGTAATAGGATGACTGCAGATCTCTCAGCTGAATCCTTTCAGGCTAGAAGAGGATGGTCATCAACTTTTAATCTCCTAAAACAAAATAACTTTCAACCCAGGATCCTGAATCCAGCTAAACTGAGTTTCCTCTATGATAGAGAAATTAAATACTTTAACAACATTCACATGTTGAAGAAATTTGCCATAACTAAACCAGCTCTCCAGGAAATTCTCAAACCTATCCTCCATAATGACCAGTCCAATCCTCCCCCACAAAAGTAAACCCACCCAGAAACTTTTGATCAAATTCCAACTTCCACAATGGCAAGAGGATTAAAAATGTCCACTGGACTTTTGAGCAACACGATGCTCAAAATTTTACCAGGGTTATCAATAATTTCTATCAGTGTGAATGGCTTCAATTGTCCTCTAAATAGGCACAGATTGGCTGATTGCATATAGAAACTCAGACCAGACATCTGTTGTATACAAGAATCTCACCTTACCTTAAAAGACAAATATAGACTCAGGGTGAAGGGATGGTCATCTATATTTGAGGTTAATGGAAAGCAGAAAAAAGCAAGTGTTGTAATATTATTCGCAGATACAATAGGTTTTAAACCAACAAAAGTCACCAAAGATAAAGATGGCCACTTTATATTTGTTGAGGGCAATACTCAATATGATGAGATCTCAATTATCAATATCTATGCACCCAACCAGAATGCACCTCAATTTATAAAAGAGACTCTAACTGG